AACCTCATCTGGCTTCCTCTTCCTCTCCATCTCCAGGTTAATCTTTGCCTCCCTGGATCTAGCTATCATATCCTCCAACATCTTGCAGCTGGATCGGCTCACAAACTGCCGAATGTCGCTCCTCAGCATCTCATGATATCGGGCCTTCTTCATCTCCTCGTCTGCCTATTGTGGAACCAGAAGTTCCCTCTCCCTGAACATTGTGATGATCTCAGCCACCGTCTCTATAGTCCGATGGAGATCTTGGAACTCTCGCGGCAACTGCTGCACCTCGATCACTGGTGCAAACTCAGCTCGAAACCGAGTCGACAAATCATCCCATATCATCACATCAACCGCATCATCACCCAGAGCACCCCCTACCTCCTCCCACCAGTCTCGACCCATTTCCTTCAAAAGGCAGGAAGCTAATCTGACCTTGTCCCTCTCGGGACAACGACTGGTGCGGAAAGCATTAGCAACATCTACTAACCAACACCTGCTCGCAATGGGGTCCTTCACTCCATGATAATCCGGAGCTCCACAAGCCCAGAACTCCCAGAATGTCAAAGATCAAGCTCCTGCTAGTGTGATCATCTCAGAACAAAACGAGCTTAATCGTTCATCCAAGACCTCCAGGATACCCTCCTTGAACTAGCCAAAGATCACAAGAGTCTGATCGAGAATGCAACGAGTAATCTCTGACGAGAAAAACTCCCTAGTCTGCTCATCGAGCTGCCCAGCTCCAGATCCTGAGCCCGAACCTTCCCCGGCACCAGAACTGTCAATAGGTTTGCCCCGCAATACCACCATACTGAAAATAGACCATATAAACCATCAGAACACACACATCAAAATATACATCAGAGGAATCACAACTCTACAAGCTCCCTGATTTTATCGCAGCTCTCCTTGAATCGAGTACGGATCATATGCTTCCAGTAGTACGGGCCCATACTACCTTCCATATCTACCCGTACTTTCCTCAAGAATTGCTTTGACTCAACCAGGTTCCTCTAAATCCATATAACCTTCCCTTACAGATAAGGCTCCCAACACTAGATCTCATCCTAGGTTTTCCTATGGCAAACTCCATACCACTCTCTGCCATCAGCTGCAGAAGAAACTCCCGCTAACTTCCTCTAACTAGCTCACGAGTACCATTACATATCACTAAAACTAGATAATTCTTCGAATGAGATGTCTCACACTACAACGGTTGGACCCAAACAAGAGCTGCACAATAGAGTTAAAACCTAACCTTCTAAAATTATTTAGTTCCCATAATATGTAACTTATCATATTCATTTACGAGTTAGCTGAAGCTAGTTAGAACTCCTAAAAGCAAAAAGCAAGCAACATTCGAGCATCAAGTATCGGAACCAAGCATAACCTAATCAGGTCATCCTATCACTGACTGATCAGTACTAGCATCCAAGTCTACAAGCTCATACAACAGGCATACAAAGACATCTCTCCTAGCATTCTATTATGAAAAAACTGAGCAAATCCTTATTCCTAACTAGCATGCGATTCACAGATTAACAGATCAAAGCATATCCAGTAATATGTATGGGTAATTTGGGAAAACTTACTTGAGCTCAGAAGATTGCATGCACCACACCCTTTCTTATTATAGAAAATCTTTTTCTTAAAATATGTTTCTTTTGAAAAACTTTACAAATCCTCAGTTTGAGTTTAGACACACCCAAGAGTGTGTCCAAATCCCTCAAACCAGGGTTTTGATACCAACTTGTAACATCCCAAAAACATGATCCAAAAATTTCATTTTTAATTTAAGTAAAATAGTATTCCAATCATTATCCATACATCCCAAATAAAACAAGTGTATCAAATATCATATAATCAGAGTGAAATATCAAGTGCGAAATCCATATGGTGTGTGCAATGCAGTCACCCCGAGCTCTTCCCCTTGCCACTGGAAATACCTGAAACATAAACTGAAAACCGTAAGCACAAAGCTTAGTAAGTTCCCCAAACTAGCCCATACCATACATAATAAATCACATATCGGGCCCTCGCCTGACATCGGGCCCCTCCCGGCATCGATCCCCGCTCGGTTTACAGATCTGCTACTCTCAGGCCTCGCCCGCTATACACATACAATCTATATCACGTAATCATGCTAACACATATAATGATCATAAACATTAGCATATGTTCCAGTTCTCAGGCCTCGCCTGGCATCGAGCCTAGCCCGGTATACATAGCAGCACATAACACATGCAAGGGTCACGACTCACGCGGACTCCTAGCACCCTAGCATAATCACTAAGGTCCAGCATTGGTTCCTTAGACCTGCTAAACCCAGTGTGGAAACTCACCTCGAATGTTAAAGCTCACTGAAAGAAATCCCTAGTTGCTGCCCAGACGACTCCCCGAGCTATCAGTACAAAATAACACCCAATAAACACTTGGGTTCCAATCTATAGCCAATAATCCATACTTGGAGTAAAATGACCATTTTACCCATGGCCTAGCTTGAACCAAAACTAAGGCCCAAATCCATAAACCAAAAAGGCCCAAAACTAATTGATCCACTAAGGCCCACTTATGGCCCAATTTTCCAAATTGGGCCCAACCCCCGTATGGGCCTTACCCTAAAGCCCACGAAATTTTCCTTAGCCCAAAAGCTTGATTTCAGATAGCCCAAAAGCTTGATTTCAGATGGCCCAAAAGGCCCAAAGCAACAAGGTCTAAAGGAGTGGCCCAACCGAGGCACAAAAGGTGCGAAGACCAAACTGACTGAGTACGCGAGGCGTACTCGGCTGTACGCTAAGCATACTCACTGCATGGCTTATACGTTGCGTGTACTGGCTTGTACGCCCAACATACTCATTCATTAAACAATTTCCTCCATTAAACTCTTAATGCTTAAGTCTATCAGTCCAAAACACAAATCTGAGTCTCAAAGAGTATCTAGAACCATAAAGTCACTGACTTGGTGACTTTACATGCCCAAAAAGATCCCAACTTCTATTTATAACATTCTATTTTCATAATAATGGCCATAACTCATGCATGGATGGTTCTAATCTTCAAAAATGACAAATTTATGACTCTAGGACCAAAAGAGCACCAAGAGTAGCATCTCTAAGCTTCATAAATGATAATAATCCACAAAATCTCATCTACAGGACCAAAAAGGGTCCAAAACTCAAACATAGGAGATCTAGGCTATAACACAACAAGTTCAGAGCTTTATACCTCAAATGAGTGCCAAAAGATGATGATAACCCGGATCTACATGCTCCTACTCTTCCAATGAAGCTTCAAGATGATCTCCTTCCTTCAAAACACCAAAAATGCACCCCAAAAGACCTTCTAAGCTCAAGAACACTCAACTATGGAGCTAGGGTTTCGAGTATAGGGCTAATAGGACAATGAGGCTGAATAAATGAGGGTTTCATGTCCATAAGGATGATTATATAACGGCCAACCCCGGAGATTAGGGTTTTCAAAAGTCCTTACGTACGCCTCGCGTACACTTCTGTACGCCCAGCGTACACCTCCAGATCCACGATCAAAACTTCACATGAGTACGCTAAGCGTACCTTAGGGTACGCCCCGCTTACAACTCAAGAACTAAATGGGAAAAATCAAATAATGCAAGGGAAAAAGAGAAACTTACCAAGATTCAAGTGTTACAATTCTCCCACCAAAATCCAACACACATGCACGCCCCATGTACAACTCAAGGACTAAATGGAAAAAATAAAATAATGCAAGGGCAAAAGAGAAACTTACCAAGATTCAAGTGTTACAATTCTCCCACCAAAATCCAACACACATGCACGCAGCATATCCTCAAGAGTTTGAATAGTCTGCTCACTCTGACCATCGATCTGCGGATGAAATGTTGTACAGAAATGGAGACGAGTGCCCAACTCGTCATGAAACCGATTCCAAAACCTAGAAGTAAAGCGAACATCCCTGTCTGAAATCACCGATATCGGACCCCATGACGTGCCGCCACCTCCCTGATATAAATCTCGACCAACTTCTCTGCGGAAATACTCTCCTGAATCGGAATGAAATGTGCGCTCTTGATCAAACCTTAGCATGAGTACGCTAAGCGTACATTGTGGTACCCCCGCATACAACTCAATGACTAAATGGGACTGGTCAAATAATGCAAGGGCAAAAGAGAAACTTACAAAGATTCAAGTGTTACAGGTGTGTTATTGGAACCATCTTCTTCTTCTGTTCCACCTCTGAATCAGGATGCTGATATATTGTTTGGGGACGATCAAGAACCCATTGACGACTTTCTCTTCCAACCCTTTACTTTCAGCAACGGTAGTGATGATGAGGACGCCCCAATGACTAAAGGTCAATACAAGCAGCTGAATAAAAAGCTTGACTCCATTCTTGAGCATACGAATGCTTTCTCCTCCACAAAATGGGAAAATTTGTTGACGGCTCATATGGCAACGGTGGAACTGTTAACGTCAACAAATGTTAAGGTTCTTGAAGAAACAACGAAGACTACTCAAGCTTCATAACAGAAAATTATAGAATCTACGAAGAAGGTTAATAAATTGATAAAGGAAGTCCAAGAGTTCATGACTGACTTCAGGACTTCTTCCGATAAGAATTTGGCTGATGTGAACAAGGTAATTGAAGGTTTTCAGATTTCATTACAAGCCGAAAAAGAAGCTCTCTAGCCTCCGATTCAAAATTCAACGTGACAATGTTGATCTTTATCCATCATTCTCCAATTACAGAATGATTAGCTACTGAGAACAAGAATTATGGATGCATTGGCAGAACAAACTTAGAAAACAAAGGTGCTACAAGAAAAATTGAGGAACACATCGATCAATATTGCGAATCTTGAAGAAGAAAAGATTTTGGTTCAAAGGCGCAACTATGAAATCAACCAACGATTGTTGCGTATCGTCGAGTCAAGAGATGCTCCGTTCACTGACTATGTTGGTCAGATTCTCAATGAGAAGCTTAAGCTTGTGTTTGAGAAGCTTAATGAGATCAACAATGTTATGAGAAGCGAGGATTCTTCGCAACAAGGGGGAGAACCGGAGGTAAACTTAAATAATCTATATCAGACGGGCTTCATGAAGAAAACTAAAGAAGCTGATACGATCAAGTTAAAAAAGAAAACTCTGGCTAAAAAATTCAAGAATATCAAGGAAGTCAAGATTTTTCGAAGGGATCATGTATCTTCAAGATTAGGAAAGGGCAAAGTCAACATCATTTCCGAAAAAGTTACTGAGGAAGATCTAACGTTGACCGAGACGGAAAGAATTGCAAGAGAGAAGAGGGACAAGGAACTTGATGAGCTCAATGCCTAAGGAAAAAACTGGATGTTGAAGAGGCCAAAGCCAGGAATTCAGAAATGATTCTTGAGAACAATGAAGATTTATTTTTGGCATGGACTCCTGATCGTATGCACAAGGAAGCTATCGATGAGCCAGATATCTTTTGGTTGGAAACAAAGACCTCTTTTAACATCAACAACGATGTGGAGTGTCAGTTCGATTTCCCTATCACTCCAAGAGCTTTTCTCTTCCAATGCTTTGAGAAGATAGAGAAATCTTTGATCTCCAACAACGCACCAAACCGAAAGCTCTTCTCATTCTACTTGAAATATGTGAAACCTCAGTACGATTCATGGAGTATGAAAAGAATCGTGGGTCTGAAGGTTGGTCTACCTTTTCAAACATAAGACTTTCTAAACATTCAATTCAAAGGATTTCGAGGTTATAATCATATTCTTCATGAGTTCACATTGGCTGATCTACCATTTATGAAGCCCTATGATTGGATTTCGTTATTCTACATTGTTGCAAAGGATATAAAGAAGTACGGACCTATCTATGAACATTTGAAGAGAATGATCAAATGTTATATCCATGAGATAACAAAGATGGATGGAGAAATTACTTCAGTTCTGAAAAAGAAACCTATATTGAAGCCTTTTGATCAACCCCAAAACATCAAAAATTTAGGGGAGGAATGATTGACAAAGAATGCTGGAGCATTGTTACAAGAAGAAAGAAGGTGAAGAGATTAAGACCTTTATGTTCTTTCTGAGGGATAAGCACTTATACCCTACAAGTGTATTGAACTCAATCTTATCTAGGGCCAAAGCAAACAAGTCCAATTCTGTTGCCGATGTCAAGTGTGTTTCTAATATGATCTGTTGGTATCTATCTGTCAGAGCATCCATTCTAAAGATAATGTCGAAGATTTTTGAAGACCAGAAGCAATAAAGACTACTTCATTCCGATTTGACTCAAAGGGAGAGATTGTTAAGTCATTATTTGTGTTGTGTCAAAATGGTTGTTTTCGGAATTTACTCTAGTTTTGATTCCGAAACGGGCATGTCTATTTTCGGAATCGTTATCTTTGCATCTATAAATAGAGTATTGTTATTGTATTTTTCTATAGACTTCAGCCTAGCATAGAAAGAATAGTTCCGATCTTGTATACGAATTGTTCTAATGCTAAGTGAATGAGGATCAGTCTTTTTTCAATCATTATCATTCCAAATCATTAATTCATCTTATAATATAGAATCTGACGACCATTTTATTATAACAAAAAGCTACCAGAGTACCTTTTCATGAGCTTTTTTAAAACTTCTCGAAAATACATCAGTTAACTATAAAAAACATATTATTCTAAATGTCATTTTATGTTATTTTATATCGTTCAGCTAGTTTTTGTCAAACGTTATTTTTTGTCAACTAGCTTTTCAACTAACGTGTCAAATAGGGGTGGAAAATCGGGTCATCGTGTCGTTTTTTTGTCTGACACGATGCGACAATGTTTTATGTAACACGAACACGACACATCACGATTGTCGTGTTCTTTTAGCTAACACGAAAACGAAACGATTAAAAAACGACAAACACGACAAGACACGACAAAGATAACATAAAATAACAATTAGTTTATTTAATTAATACTTAATCATACATAACACGATAAACACGAAAAACACGACAGAAAAATACTAAATCGTGTTAATTTCGTGTTGAATTTTGAACAAGAACAAGACACGACACGACGTCGTGTTTTTTACACTTGACACAAACACGATACAAACACGAATTCGAATTTTTGTATCGTACCAATTTCGTTTTTTGTCGTATATTTTTGTCGTGTCATGTCATAATTACATCCTTAGTGTCAAACATAGACTAAAGCCTAAATCTCTCTATTCTAATAAATGAATCGATTTATTCTCCTGTTGACAATTGTCATTATATTAGAAATCATCATTAATATTATATGTCACATATCATGTCACTTGTCAACGTATTAATTATCCATTTCAAATTTCCAAATTTAAATTTCCCATCCTAATTACATTAAATTTTAAATTTTTTTTCACTTTAATTATATTAAATTAATAACATTAGATTAAAAAATAAAATAAAATTTATAAAGATTATAAGGTGATATAAATTCACATATTTATTTAAATATACGATTATAATTTTATATAACTAAAAAATATCTTTTAAATAATAATATATTTAAAATAATTGATTAATAATTTTGATTTTTTAATATGAAAGTTTAATTAGTTTTATAACTGTGGTTCTCACGTGTTATAAACTAGTATAAGAATATAAAAATCATAACATATATCTCAAATTCAAGGCTAAAGTATGAACATTTAATACACATGGTGATTTAACTTTCTTATATATTTTGATTGTGAGAGAGATAAATGGAGGATCGACGTATACATTTTTAAAAAGAAAATTTAGAAGGAAAAAAAAAAGCATATTGGTCCCCATCATAACCCAATGTTTTTTCTTTGCCGGTTGCCATTTTGCACTCACACGACGTCGTACGTATATTTTGTAATTTTCTGGTTGTTCGTTTTTAATAAATAAATGTGGAAGGATGCTCCACGTATTATTAGACTTGTGGATTCCATTTCTTTTTGGACACCGAGATTTAATAATTTTTGTTGTGGAATTCTTTTTAGTTATAATCTTATATTAAAAAATATAAAATGTTGTTTATTAATGATAAGAAGTTAAATTAGGGAACCGTATTTACGACTCCTAACTCCGTCACTGGTCTCACGAACACAAAATTAGTTAATTACTTATATTTCATAATTTGTATTAATAATATTTTTTATGTTTATTATTATCTTAGTTACATCACGTTCGATATATTGAATAGCAACCTCAAAATTTCATTATTGTTAAGTTTATATAAAATGACTTCATTTGATTAAATTTTATTGTCGAGTGACATTTTTTATATAACATATGTTTAAAAATAATAAACTATATAAAACTTTATAAAATATTTCACAAAATATAATCAACTAGTTAATTAAAAAAAATTAGAGAAGGTTTATAGAAATATGTTTTGTTAAATATACAAATGTTGTAAAAAAAAAACACTCGGCGTTAGCTAGTCGTTAGAATGAAGTTAAGTAAATAATCGGTTAGGCGAGAATTAATTAGGGGATTAAACGATGACCCTAAATTGCTAATTCATTGATTTTTAAAAAAATAAATATAGCTAATATGATAACAAAGTTCGTAAATATCACGAATATCACAAAAAATGTAACAACCCAATTTTTCAAAAGAAAATTTTCATTTTTGATTAATCAAATACCTTCTCCAGACCATGAAATCCCAAACACATTATAAAAGCTACATATACCACATAAGTCATGCATACAACATATAAGGAAGCCATGGAAACCCTCCAGGGTCTTACACCTAGTGCCACTGGAACCCCCACGTGATCTTAGCTGCCTGCCATGGGAACCCCCACATGGTCTTCCTGCCATGGGAACCCCCACATGGTCTTCACTACCAAACAAGACATAATGCAAACTACATATGCAAATATACTAGGATGCCTTGGAAACCCTCCAAGGTCTTACACCAAATGTCACGGGAACCACCACATGGTCTCAGACTACTACCATGGGAACCCCCCAAGGTCTTCTATGCAAATGTCCTACTAACATAACGCATATTCAATCAACAATCCACATATCATAAAATGGGTCGGCCTTGGTGCCTTAGACCCATTGGTATGGTGAGAAGACTCACATCTCACATTCTTCTTGGTCAAGCGGGTCAATGGCACAACAATCTTGGAGAAATCCTGGATAAATCTCCGATAATAGCCTGCTAAACCCAAGAAGCTACGGATCTCGGAAGCATTCTTCGGTACTTCCCACTGCATCACTGCCTCAACCTTGGCGGGATCAACCGAAATACCCTCCTGGTTGATGATGTGCCCCAAAAACTGTACCTCTCGCAACCAGAAATCACACTTGGAGAACTTGGCATACAGCCTCTCAGCCCTTAGGGTCTCCAATACCTCTCTCAGATTCTGCTAATGCTGCTCCTTGGTCTTAGAATAGACCAAGATATCATCAATAAAAACGATCATCGACCGATCCAGTATCGGTCTACACACTCTGTTTCATGAGATCCATGAACGCTACTGGGGCATTGGTGAGCCCAAATGGCATCACCACAAACTCATAATGTCCATACTGAGTCCTGAAAGCTGTCTTCGGTATGTCCTCATCTCGAATCCTCATCTGATGGTATCCCGACCGTAGATCAATCTTGGAAAACCAAGACACGCCCTGCAGTTGATCGAACAAATCATCGATCCTCGGTAATGGATAACAGATCTTCACCGTTAGTTTGTTCAGCTCTCGATAATCAATGCACATCCTGTGTGACCCATCCTTTTTTTCACAAACAGGATCGGAGCTCCCACGGGGAAATACTCGGTCGGATAAACCCTCGGTCTAGCAGCTCCTGAAGCTGCATAGATAGCTCCTGCATCTCGGGCGGTACTAGCCGGTACGGTGCCTTTGCTATCGGTGCGGCACCCGACACTAAATCAATGTGAAACTCCACTTGCCTCTCCGGAGGCACTCCCAGTAACTCCTCGAGAAAGACATCCCGATACTCCTGTACAACCGACACACTGCCCACCTCCGTCGTAGGATCCACCCTCGTATCCGAGATATAAGCCAGAAATCCCATACATCCCTGCTGCAGAAATCTCCTAGCCCTCGCAGCTGAACAAAGGGTTGGCCCCTGCGGGGCCCTCTCACCATGAATAACTAGTTCTCCCCCACTTGGGGTTCGAACCCCCACCAACTGGCGCTCGCAATCAATCATGGCCCCATTGGCCCTCAGCCAGTCCGTCCCGACAATCATCTTCATCCCTCTCAACGGTATCGGGAATAGATCAACACGAAACCTCTCTCCAAGCACATTCAGGACACAGTCCCGATACACCCTCGCAGCACTCACAGTGCGGTCATCTGCAATCT